TCCAAGATCCGAGATGTGGAAAGAGGAATATGATGTTCACTTCGACTTTTTGCTGCAACTCCTGTAAGCTTGGCTTTACCTCTGTAAACTCTTTTAAAGCTCTGATCTCCAGATGGGTGGGTACATTAACAATTATGCTGCGTGGCAAAATGGAAATAGTGAGGTAGCTGTGGTGTAAGTTGACCCTGGCAAAAAAATTCCCATGATACTAGAATAATATTCATAGAAAGGCATATTTATGGTAAAAAAGAAAAGAAAAAGACAAACCGTATTTTTAATCTAATGTGGCACGTGGCCGACGATGTGCTGGACTGGGTCAGCTATTACTTTTCATTTGAATTAAAACACAAAACAAAAAAACAAATCTGCTGGAATTATTATTATTATTGTTTTAATAATTCACCTATTGCTAGATAGATTATTTGATGTCGTGGGTACAGCAGAGTTCAGTTCAGCATTTAATTGAAGCTATGACAGCTCATAAGCTGCCAGAGCTCGAAGTTCAGGTTGATGAGTTTACAGTGGTAGGAAACAAAGAGCCAAAACTAAAAACACCACCCCTCTGATTAAGTGGAAAATGATTAAAAATAAGTCACTTTATCACTAGCTTACTGATCAAGTGATTAATGTCTTAATCAGTTATTGTTGGATTCAGTTCTAGTGATGTATTAAAATATGTATTCAATGGTTTGTAGCCAAAGACCTGATTGCTGTCACCTGCCTGCTTCTTATAAAATCAGTACGGCTGATTTGTTGTAGCAGCCACCAGTGTTATACCCTACGGAAAAGAGCAAATATCAGTTATGTGTGTGATTCTGTTTGTTTATTAATAAACAGTAAAGGCTGCTACTGTCATCAGTTCACTGAACTAATGGTAACGAGTGTTTTTATTCACAGAGGTGCCTTTGTTGTTTGTATTAGGTTCCGTTCTTACATTTGTTTTTAGTTTCATTTTCTGCCAAGACTCAATCTAAAAGTTGAAACAGATGACCTCACTGACACGCTTGCACAACTACACACAGAGCTTTACTTCTGCCTCTACTGCTATACATCACTTTGGCCATAGATCAGTGTAGGCTATATGAAAGCAAAAGAAGAGCCCGTAAAATCACAGAATTTTACAATTTGGTTTACCCCATAATTGGTAATTACACTCATCCAAGATGTATTTAGGACCCTCCGCTTCCTCCCTCATGCACACACCCACACACACACCTTACACAGACACACCTTGTAGCTGTGGGCACGGGTAGTACACAGCTAAAGAGATTAGCATGTGAGTCAGAGACATGTCCTTTCATGCTCTGAGTATGACACAGACACGAGCGCAGACTGAGTGGCGGTCACACTGACTGAATAAGACTGGCCTGGGGATACAAAATTGTGCCTTCACATAGACTAATAGCTTTGCCATGTGCCACTTGGCCCTCAGTAACTCTGAGTGTCTTTTTCACAAAAGACCTGCACTAGATAGCTGACACTTAATACTGTGTCCCTCTCACTAATATTTTGTGTTTGTGTATGCCAGAGACCGTTGCACGGGAGGGAGACTGGCATCATTTTAGCAATTTAGCCCCACGACTGATATGAGTTTTGAATGATTTATAAGGACACTCTGAATGCAGTGAATTAATATGATCAGACAAGCGAAAGCACATTTACTGCTAACACCAGGCTGGATATTGTTTTAATGGTCTGACACACTCATTTTATTAGGTGTATATCAACATGTTTGCCTGTTGTTATGAATTTTTTCCCTTCATCTAATTGTTTGTGTCTCAAGTAACTAAGCCTTTGTGGGTGAGAGTTGTGTATTGATGAGGAGCTGGCTATGCTCTGTTTTCTCCCTACTGTGGGACATGTCCAGGGGTAGATGTGCAGGAAGCATTTTAATCACATCCCTAAACCAGATCTGATGGCCCCTTTTCCACTCCAAAGAGCAGTTAGTTTTACTCCTCCCGGAAACTCTCCACCCTGTCCCCAAGGCTGAGCCTTTGCACGCTGTCAATGGCCATTTTCTGCTAGCTTTATCTGCAATCTCGTTGTCATTCTTGGAAGTGATGCTTTGCTATGATAAGTTGGGGAAGTTTGCATGACCCATCTCTTGGTGGTTAAGAAGTTTATGTATCCTGTGACTCTGGGTACTCTGCTTATGGGGGTAATAGTCTGTTGCTACCAAGGCAAATTGGCCCCAGCAGATCAAGGGCCAGATGATGATTCTATGAGATTAATGAATCAGCCAAGACATGAAAGTGGATCCTTGCTTGGAGCAGGGAAATCAGAGCCCTTTGTGGTACTGAGCTGTATGGGTGTAGCACACAGTCAGCTAAACAGCGCGTGAAGTCAGGGGACTGAGTCTTAGCTATGGAAACTAGTCATTTGTGAATTCGCCTGTAGCTTTTGATTTTTGTCCACTTTTATTCTTCTTCCTGTAGCGTGGGACACTTAGCTTCCGCTGTATCCATAGTAACCAACTAATCCTGTACGACAGCAGTGCCTAATGTATTGAATTTACGAGGGTAATGAAATTGGGCTGATCACATTATGCAAAGACATCTGAATCATCTGTTGGGGCTGCTGGCGGCGCATCACATATGCAGAGACCGGCAGGAAATGAAGAAATGCTGCTGAGACTGACGGAGGTGAATGCGTGTACCTCATTTGTCATCAGGGTGCTAGTAAACATGTGAGTGGTGTATCATTTCCATCTGCTTTTTTTTTTTTTTTGTCATGGATGGACGTTATGCTGTCTTTTAACCAATACTTTGCCTGTGGGGTCTAGATGGAGCAAGTGCCTTACAGACGTGCACATCACATGTGGAGAAATGTCAAGTCTCTATCGACACACAGAAGTCACAGAAATGACTTGGAATCAAAAACAATCCTCACTGTTTATTAAGATGCCAGTAAAAAAGCTACACAGCTTCCCACTGATTGACTCTGGCATGCATAACAGTGTGCAAAGTATGTAGTGCAGTGCAGCACAGTGGATACAACATCGGTCAAGCTGCCACAGTAAGTCATAAATACATAAGCAGGGCACTAATTAATACTCTGCATTGATTATCTATGCTGCCTTTACAACAGTTTAACAGCCACAGAGCATGTGGGGCCTTTTGTTCGAATAAACAGACTATTAAACTCTCCTCCATCCCAGTAGCCTTCATCACAGCCTGCAGTAATGGCCTTATTTATTAAAGGTTACCAACTGTAGCATGAGACTCAGCCTAGCTGTCATGGTGCTACTTAGAAGTCATGTAGTGTCTTCTGTGACTGAAAGCCTCAGAAACCTGCTGATGTCCTCAGGGTAAAACTCTGTAACGCCAAATCCTGTTTTACAAGCTGGACAGTGCAGTGTTTGAAAGATGTCTGCGTTTGCCAGACAGGGAGGGTCTGATGAAAGATGCTTTTAAGTTTCATTTTGCAAAATGTATAATTTAGTGTCTTTCTGAAGCATGACCCATACTAGTGATTAAAAAGTCAGAACATCAGCTCCTGCTGCTGTGTCAGTTTTTTAAAATCATTTTGTTGCAACATGATGGCTAAGCAAGTTAGCACTGTTTACCCACAGCAAGAAAGTCCTATGTCTCAACCTGTGCATGGGCCTTCTCTGTTCAGTCTGTCAGCTCTGGGTTCCCCTGCAATCAAAAACATGTTAGGTTAATCATAGGTTAATGTTTCTGTGTTGGCCATGAAGCTCTTGCCCAAGAGATCTGAAGAGCTCCATTTCCTGGTTATATAAAAGGTATATAAAGGTTAAAAGTTTTTACTTCCCCCAATTTAATGTACAGTGCTAAATCACTAGGCTAAAAGCTTTTATGCCCGTCCACCCCTGTCAAATGTATTCCACTTATATCGATCCTGGACAATACTTGTGAAACTTCTAATAAATTGAATGAAGTTGACTTTATTCATATAAACATCAAATTTGTGTTAGATCACTAGGATCAGAGCATGAATGATATTTATGCAGCTTTAGGCCTGTTGAGCATGCTTTCCCCTACAGTGGTTTTACATCCTTCTACTTAGGCTTTTACTGGCTGAAAGTATGATTCATTTATTTATTTAATTTTTTTTTTTTTAATATTTAAGCGTAAGCTTAAATGAGTAACTCACTTGGGTGAAATAGAAAAGAGCTTAATAATCAGTTCAGGCTGCTTATAAAATGGTATATTCCAGCAACGGTTAACACATTTCAGTTTGAAACATTACCATGTATTGTTATCATGGTGCATAGTGTTGGAAATCTGTTATCAATTCAGCCTGTGCAAGTTATTACTTTGCGCTGAAAACAGCACGTTCTGTCGTGTTCTCAACACTCACTTTATCTGTTCTTCACCTTTATTACTCCTGCAGGGGTGACTAAGTGCATTCTGTTTTTGGCATAAACTCCTTGTTTCATACTCTCACACAGACTCATTCACAGCTGGAATAGACATTTGACTGATAGACAAGGAGGTTGCAAAGGGTGTTTAACTAGCGCATTTGGGTGTTTGGGGAAAGGCCATCGAGGCCAGGGAAGGAGCATTATTTGGTCACTTCTGAGAAGCTTACTTTACTAACTTCCCAGCTGCATTTTCCCAAAATAGAAGGGTAGAATTAAAGGGTTTTCTTTATGTTATAGCCCTTTAATTCTAATTATCTTAGTGGTCCACGGTCTGAGATTAGTGGGGCTTTTTAGAGGAGATTGGGGCAGGTGAAATCTGCTTCAGCTGTATAATCAGCCATCATATCCACTGCATCAAAGTAGGACATAAAGTGACAGTGAAAGTGGGTCACTGCCATAACAAGTCATTTGAACCTCATTTGACTTGTTTTTCTGTGCATGTGAGCATATGTTTATGTAATTGAGTTTTATGCTTCACAGTTGAGCTTTTTCTGTTTAGCTGTGAGTGAGTGGGTGTCCATAATGGGCATGCGTTCCATTCATTACCCTGGGTACCTGCTTGTGTGTGCGACTGTGTGTTTGTTTTTACATGTGTGTGTGTTCTCCTCCTCAGTGATGCCAACCTCACAGACGTGCTGTCTGACTCAGAGGAGTGTGATTTGGGCAGTCTGGAACACGGGAGCACGGATACTCTGGCCAATGGCTGCCGAGCTGACTGTGAGGCTGCGAAGAGGCTTGCCAAGCGCCTCTATCACCTCGAGGGCTTCAAACGTTGCGATGTGGCCAGACACCTGGGCAAGAAGTGAGCACGCATACAGACAGTTAACACAGGCACACACACTCTAGTGTGATGGTCCAATACAGGGAGGTTTGTGGGCTTGTCACAAGTGTTCCATATCCACGAGACACAAAGATGATGGATGTAAAAAACAAACAAACAAACAAAACAGAAAAAAGTTTCATTAAACACTCCTCAATGTGTATTCATATCTGAATGTGTATCCATTATCTATAAATATTTCCCAGTAGGCACACAAAAATGAGGGCGCAACAAGTCAGGTTTTTACTGTTTTGTTGGTAAATATAACTGTATTGTAATTTGAAATAAAATATAATGAAGTTCCATTTAATCACAGGGGAATTACACCCTTAGTCGTGGCTGTAACATAGTGTTATCAAACATTTATATAACATTTGTTGATGTGCTTTCTGTCTCCCTGCAGTAATGAGTTCAGCCAGATGGTGGCATCAGAGTACCTGAGCTTCTTTGATTTCTCTGGCTTGTCGCTGGATCGCGCCCTGAGGTAATGCCCACTCAGCACTGGCAGGTGATGAATGTGTGATGGTAGAGCTATTAGTGCATGCACCTAGGCTGTGTGTGTTCTTCACATTCCCTCTTCACAACACATCAGCTTTGTGTTAATCAAGCTGTCATGCTCAGTACAGTTAGCTGGTGTAGCTGACAGCTGCAGAGTACATCACAGTCTTGTATCTGACATGTTGCTGTCTCAGACTGCTGCCTTCAGTGCAGGACTTTCAGTTGAGTGAACAATGCTGATGAAAAGTGACATCCTGCATTCATTTTGGTACTGTTGGGATCTTTACATATTCTGGATCTTCAAAGTACATTCAGCCAAAGTGATGAATTCTGAAAAACATTTTTTTAGATGCATCATCTATATCTAAATCTGAAAAAAAGATCTCAGCAACCAAGATGGCTTCCCTAGAATAATAACTTTAAAATTTAGCACAGTTAACAAAAACAGAAAATGCTCAGATCTGTGATAATAATATGCTTTTGTTGTTTAACAAAAGTGTCAGCTGACAAATCAATCAATGATTTTTACACTCGGATCCCCTCTGATTTATTTACAGTTTAGATGTGGAACCTGTACCATACTGCACTATGCCACCATGACCTGAGTTTTAAAAAGCAGGACTTACTGTTGCAGTTTTTGAGAAAAATGTTTCATAAGGTTGTTCATGTGTGGCAGGAACTTCTTAAAGGCCTTTCCACTGATGGGCGAAACCCAGGAGAGAGAGCGGGTCCTTGTCCATTTCTCCAGACGCTATTGCCACTGTAACCCCCAGACACCCACCTCTGAAGGTCAGAGCTGTGAAGGTGATGATAAAGATAATCAAGGGTAACAGTATTATAATCAGAAAGTGAAAAAAGACAAAAAAAAAAAAAGGCTTTTGTTGGTGTCCATGTAGAAAACAGTTGACTAAATGTCCATGGCCCATAGTTTTGCATTGCAGTGATGAAGCTGGTACATTTCAATTCTTAAAATGTAACTATTGCAAATCACTTTATAGCACCAGCTGATATTATTTGACTGTGTAGATATATTTTGTGCAGACGTGTGCTGATAAAGTGTATGTACATTGATTTTGTACACTATTGTTTTTATATGAGTGTGTGTGTGTGTGTGCTTAGAAAGAAGTGGTGTGACATTTAGCGGACCTCAGCCATGTGTACTGTCCCTTTACAGATGGAGCCCACACATTGACCTGCGCCCTCATGCTGCTCAACACAGATCTGCATGGACATGTATGTATTGTATTTCTCTGACATTCTGATTCCCAGAATTAACAACCTTTCATTTGTCTAAATCACTCTTCATGTGACTTCATATTGCTATAGAAAGCGCACCTGTGAGGTCTGCTATCTACCTGTTGTTTTTGCAAGCTTAGCTTTAACAAAATGTTGGTTAGTTGTTCAGTCCCTTCAGAACAAGGAACACTAACTAAAGTGTTACTGGTTTGTTGCTGCTGCCCTAGAACACTGACTACAGTGACCCTGACACTAATGAATGCATCAAAGTTAGATAAACTAGCTGACGTTCGCTAAATAGCTTTCACATTTGCTTTGACAGTGAAAGATTTCTTGTCCTTCACCTCCCAAAGGCAGTATTATCGACCCATCCAGATCAAAGATATATGTAATTATCAGTGAAAGGTGATTTTCAGGAAGATACAAACATAGCCAAAGTGGACCTCCGGCAGGGACTTGTTTTAAATGAGTCTGGAGTCCCCAAAACGTGCAGGTTGTTGACATTCAGGTCTTACCTCACAGGACTGAAAACTGAATTAGACAACAGAGTGTAAATACAGGCCTTTGTCAGCAATGCCATGTCTTTATCTATGTCCTCTTTTAGGTATAGTTCTTCTTCTTTCCCTTCTCTGTCTGTGCTTTTGTCCCAGCTTCTCTCTCCCCTCCCTGGCCTAGTTTCTGACCTGTTTCTGTCTCTCCTGTCCTCCTGTAGTCTCGTCTGTTCCCTTCTAAAAACAGGGACACTGTGGTCTGCATAACATGATCCATCATAGGCTTTTTGCTTTGCTTTTCTTCACCCTCCTGCTAATAGTAGTTTTACTTAATAGGCCTTCTCTAATTAAAATCCTCTCTTTTCTCAATCTCTTTCCCTCCTTTTCAAATCCATCCTCTGCTAACCATATCTGGTCCCCTGGTCTCTCTCTGCCCCTGCAGGTGGTAAGTATACGTACAGTACTAACACTCATCTCGTTCACAAATGCTCCTCCTTTTTTTTGTCAGACGACAATAGAATTGAAGTCATATTTTTAAAATGTAGGTATTTAAATACTTTCGTTCAGTGAGACAAAAGTATTTAAATACCTAAGTTTGGTTGGTATTTATGCCGCTTAAATGAAAACTGATCATTCAGTGAAGTTGTAAGAGTATTATCTTCTTGTGACCATTAGTGGATCATACCAGTAAAGAGAGAATAAAACATTTTCCACTGCCTGTCAGATCACATCCTGAATAATTTCTGTTTTCGCTGGAAAAGGGAACTGGGCTGTCTTGCCTGCCATGTAGCCTCCCTGGAGGAATGTGTGAATCACATCAGTTTCAGATCAGTTTTATTTCCACTTCTGTGTCTATTCAGGTTAGAAACACCTCCCTTCTAATCATAATGAGGCATCGTGATTAGAGGTCAAAACGCTGGTAAAAAGGTGTGCTTGATATGTTCTAATATAGGCACTACCACTGCGGTAGTACCTCAGCTGTATATCACTGCCACCCAGTGGACAGAATCTAATCTGCATCGACATTGGAGTGGATAAAACTGGGTGTTAAGCACCAGTTGCTTTAAAATAATAATAATATCTTTTAAAAAAAACCTTTCAAAAAAAAGCCCCCCCCAAAAATCATCAAATTGTTGTTTGTTCATTTCTCTCTGTCTCTTGGTGTGTTCTCCTCTCCTCAGAACATTGGGAAGAAGATGTCCTGTCAGCAGTTTATCAGTAATCTAGAAGGTCTCAACAACAGCAAAGACTTTCCCAAAGATTTATTAAAGGTACAGATCTCGTCCTGAAGTAGCACAGCAACAGGAGACTGAGTCAGCTTGATTGTTATTTATTCATTTATTCTCAGCCACAGACTAAAGTTTGTGTTGTCATTCCAACCCTGTAGTCTAATTTTTTTTAAAGAAAATGTTCACAAGTCCCCTCTTTTGTTGCCTGCACAGGTTTTGTATAACTCGATCAAGAATGAGAAGCTTGAGTGGGCAGTGTGAGTATGTGTTCTGTGCCCATCAAAAGGATAAGTATTTGTAGTATGCAAGTTTTTTGAAGTAAGTGCACTTGAATACATCTCAGTGTGTGTGTGTGTGTGTGTGTGTGTGTGTGTGTGTGCATGCAGTGAGGAGGAGGAGCTGAGGAAGAGTCTGTCAGAACTGGTGGAGGAGCAATGTGAGGGCGGGAGTAAACGTGTTGCTAGGGTAACGGACGGCAGTAACCCTTTCATCGCCATTCCCATTCTCCTAAATGCCGTCACCTACAAGCATGGCGTGCTGAACCGGAAAAGCCACGCCGACATGGATGGCAAACGCAGTGAGTACACATATTTTTGACTCAAGTTAGCAAATCCTTTATGATAAAAAAATAGTAATAAAGCAAGAGCTTTCTTTGTGTTTTTTCTCCTAGCTCCAAGGGGTCGCCGAGGATGGAAGAAGTTCTATGCAGTTCTGAAAGGGATGATCTTATATCTCCAGAAGGTACTGCATCTCGTCCTCTGCTCTGTTACCATAGAAACACACTGCTGTCACTGCAGTGGTGGATGCTGTGAGCTTGTGTGCTCTGTGTGTGTGTGTGTGTGTGTGTGTGTGTGTGCCAGAAAGGGAGGGAGATAGAAAAGGCATTAACAGAGGAAATGAGGCTGGTCTGTGTAAGCGTGTGTTTGTCTCCCCCTGCTGGCAGGAAGACTTTACTAGCAGCCCATAAGGTTAAATGAATTAGCTTCTATTTCTTGTCATCAGGGTAATATTTTTAATTTCAGGTGATAGTATGAAGGTGATGTTACTCTGGTGTCAACCTGAATGTAGTGATCTGGACACCATCGATACGTGCAACAGTTTGCAGGTAAAAGATGTTCCTTTTATTCTTGTTACTTACCCAGGATGAGTACAAGCCAGATACCGACATTTCAGAGGTGGACCTGAAGAACGCAGTGCGGATCCACCACGCTTTAGCTACTCGTGCCACTGACTACAGCAAGAGAGCCTACGTACTGAAGCTCAAAACCTCAGACTGGAGAGTCTTTCTGCTGCAGGCACCGTAAGTTATCTGTCCTTAAACAGTAAAATTTTAGGTTTTGAAATTTTACAACTTTTTTTTTAAAGTTTTAATTTTGCATTATTTTTGACGAAACCATGTTACTTTGGCTTGAGAATGAATGTTTTAAGAGGATACGCAGGTGTAAAGGAGAAGGGTGTGTGGTGCATAATGATCTATGAATAATCTGTAAATAGCCCTGCTCTTAAGAAGAATTTGTATGGTGGTTTAAGGTGCTAAAAAAGGAGTACCTACTAAGAATCCGATAATGGAAGGCACTATCTCTCATTTGATATTCAGCATGCCTCAAAACACTGATTACACTATTATTGTGTCGAATGACTTCAGAACTGTTTCTGTGTTGGATTTGTCATTTAGATTTGAAATCTTAAAAGCTTTCAATTGAAAATGTAGGTGTGTAGTATAACTAGTTGGATGTTTGATATGATTTTAATTGCTCGGTTGCTGTCATCATTTTCTTGCTAAAATGAAACATACTACCATTAAAACTTGAATGAATTGGTTCTCTGTCTTTGTTTCTGTCTCTCTCCAGGAGTGAGGAGGAGATGATGTCTTGGATCTTCCGGATTAACCTGGTGGCAGCGCTGTTTTCTGCCCCAGCCTTCCCTGCTGCTATCGGCTCCATGAAGAAATTCTGTCGGCCCATCCTGCCGTCCTCATCCACCCGACTGAACCAGGTCCGCACTCAAGCACATGCACAGATGGTGGCACGCATTAGAAACACGAGCTTCCTTCTCTTGCATCCCACAAGAAACATTATACACCAATGTCAGCATTCAGCATCCAGTACTAATTGCATATACCACACAGTCTATTTCAGCAGCATGCACATTTTACATATGCTATTTGTATCTGCTTACATCTGATTGGCTGTTTTTGGGTCCTCTGGCATTTGTTTGCGCTGTGATTGGTGCAGGAGGACCAGCTGCTGAGTCACGAGAACAAGCTGAAGCAGATGAGCCTGGAGCTGGAAGAACACCGGAAAAATCTGCCCTCAGCTGACCCAAAAAGCCGAGAGTGGGAGGAGTACCGGCTCAAAGAGCACTACCTCGCATACGAGGTAAATTCTTTGTGTTGCTTTTTGTTAATTTCTCTGTTTTTAATTTTCTTTTTTTAACTGATAAACAGCTAATAGACCACAAATTATGACAGAGGAACGTGTCTGCTGTATTATTTTTAGAGTCAAGGGTCACTTTATTTACCCTTGGTATTAAAAGCTGGGGTAGACAACCTGTTTTTTGGCAAATTGTGTTATTGGTCTCTTCTGTTTGACTCTTGATTAATTGTCCTTTGGTCTTTTTGTCTTCAAAAACACATCTCTCCCTCCACGCCCCTCTCTGAGCAGAAGACTCGGTATGAGACATACATCAGCCTCCTGCAGGCTAAAATACGCACAGAGACGGATGACCTTGAGAAGATTGAGGCCAGTGTGATGGGCGGCCTGATCATGGAGGGCGGTCTGGCCGGCCGAGAGTGTCACCTCCGCAAGACGCAGTCCTCGCCGTCCATCAGTCAGACGCACGGTGGCCTGAACGGGAGGGCAACTGGATGCGCCATCCCAGGAAAGAGGAGCTGAGGAAAGAAGACCAAATGCCACAGCCCTCAAAGCAGCATCTCTTCAAGCCAAACTAGTTAAATCCTACAAGTCCTTCTCGGATTTGCTGTTAGCATTTTATTTATTGTGCTCCATTCTTTAGTAAGCCATCACTATCCTTCCCAGAATTTATCAACCGTGATGATAAGTTCCTGTAATGAGCAATAGATAAGAAGAGCGTGCCCTTGATACCCCACCACAAGCGACCCTGCCAAACTTCAGTTCTTTTAACTTTTGTTATTGCACATTACAGCGATCATAACTGTGATCACTATTTATAGCAGCATTGTCAGTATTAATTTTTGAACTGAGAGTGAAGAGTTGTCTTTAGTTGAAATGTGTTTTTTAGTTGTGAGCTGCAGTAGTTTATAACCTGTCGATATAAGACTGCACAGACACAGACTGGTTTCCTTTGCCTTGCTCCGCAGCCTGGGAGTCAAGCAGTGATTGAGATGGACATAGTACAGATGGTACTACTGTAGCATTTTGGCTTTACTTCAACTCGCGTTTACACACTCGGCCACTCACAAGCCTGTGTGCTTTATGGACCTACAATATTGTTGGAGAATGGTGTCTGAAGATGCAACATATCTGTCCCGGAGATATAGGAACTCGGAGAAGAACTCAGGAGGATCAGATTCCTGTATAGCATATTTATTTATTTATTTAACCTTTATTCACCCCAGCAAGGGTTCCCCTCTAAACATTCACACATTTACATACATTCACATGTGAGCAGGAGCTGCCAAGAGGAACCATAGTTTAAACTGTTCACTGAGCTGCTCCACCGGAGGAACTGGAGGTTGAGTGCCTTACTCAAGGGCACCTCGGCACTAGCTGTTGAGGGATTTAAAGAATACTGTTACTTGTCAGAGATCAAACATGTGTTCCTGTGATTTTTGAGCTGCCGCTTCCCCCCTCTAATACTAACCTGTGTTTAACTGTATGTTTCTGGAGAGGGCAAAAGCACTGTGCCATGTTATCCACTTACTGCTCTTTCTGTACCATGACTGAGTAAACTGAGCTGCCAGAACTCATATGTAACAATATATGGTTGGGCATGAGGTTTCTGAAGGGCTGAACAGGAAAGTGTGGGTGGGCTGGTGTGTGCACATGCATGTGTGTGTACGCGTGTGCATTGGCGTGCTTTTGAAAGTTGCTCCAGTTAAGAATTTGAACTTGTAGGCGACAGGAAGAAGTAAATATAGCAAGGTCATGTTATTTGTATAAAGATTTTGTTGAGCACATTGAGAGAAAACAAGCCGACAGCCTTCTGCTGAATAGCACTGCCGGCACAGTCAGGCCTGGATCTCTCAAAAGCATCTTCAGGACAAAGCCAGCCACGTGATAAAACGTGTTTTTAACTCTTACAAAGTCTGACTGATCTCTGCTCTGATTTATAACATGCTACATGGACCTATTGCAGCGTCGTTTGCCCTGTTATAATTTTGGGAATTTGACTTTCTGTTGCCAGGCTTCTTATTAGATGAAGATGTTTTTGGGAAAGCAGGGCCTGACCGATTTCAGATGGAGGCTGGTTGACAGCAGAGCATAGCAGCAGGACTGCTCTAGCGTAGTGGGTTAACGTCAGGTAGGCTGACAGCATGCTGGATAGGAGAGGGGAACGGCAGCAAAACAACTCCACCAGCAAAGTAGCCATCAAAACACCCTCCGCATGGGTGAGAAGGAGCTGATGGAGGAGAGACTTGTTTTCTTAGAAGAAACTGGTTTGGTTTACTTAGTACGACCATCTCTGCCAGCCAAGAACAGGCAAAATGGACATCCAGCACACATTACTCCAAACTGAGGAAAACAACATAATGAGGCCGATTCTTCTGGAAGGAGGACTTGTATAAGGTTGTGGGAAAAGGACATATGGTGGTATCACTCTCTGTGAGCACCTCAATTGATCCTATATCCCCCAAACACACACACACATACACACGTTCTCTTTCTGTGTGATTTGTTACGTAATGACACAACTGTAGATCAGTGAGTTCAGCGCCCCCCTCACACAAACACAGTGTGACTCAGAAGCATGTAGACATAACCAGGATTGCGGATATTGATGGGAGGAACAATTATATCTTTGGCTCCGGACACATTGCTTCTGTTGCTACGTACATTGTTTTAATAGAGACTGATGGGATCTGAGATCCTTTTGGGACTTTGCTGGAAACCTGGAATCACAGCTGGAATCCTGGAACCTGATTCTTGTACAGACCAAAATGCTGAAACAGGAGCGGAGCTTTCAGAGAGGAAGTACTTTTTCTAAAGCTGTATTGTTAGGATAAATACCTGCTTTCTTACAGGGAGACTTCCCCTTATAGTCACTTTGGCTGTTGTGCTAACCATTGTTTCCCAATGTTCTAGGTTAGGCCTGTGCTGTAATATAGGGTTGTGGAAAAAAAAATAGTTGATTGTTATGTTTTATTTAAGTAAAAAAAAAAAAAGACAACTTCGGCACTTTGATGTCAGGATTGGATTTTTCTTTTTGTTTGTATATCTGAACTTTTCTGACAGGATGCTCATACTATGTAAAGGACATATTTACTGAATATTTAGTCTGTGCTTCATAAAGTAAGCTTTTATACAGATTGATTGTGGTTGTAATTTATAAAACTGTCAAGACTAAAACAATGAAAAGCTAAAAAAAAAAAATCCGTACCAGTTTTTTAATTTGTGTGCTGCTGACATCTTTGACATTCTGCAGACATGACTATTACTGTGTAATGCTTTTAAACGTCTCCTGTTTACAACTACGCCCACTTTCCTCCACAGGTCAGTGCACTTGTTTGAAAGTTGCTGCTAAAACGTGTTGCTTTGCAGTTAAACTGTCAGTTGTTAAGTTGCACATTTACCCATTGTGGAGCACATTTATCGTAAACCCTCATTGGCCACTTTATTTGGTTCGACCCTCCCTTTTATTTTCCTTCAAAACACAAAGGTGCTGGAGACACTCCTCAAAGATTTTGGGACCTAATAAAGTTGCTTCAGATTTTTTAGCTATTTATTCATGACGTGAATCTCCTACATCCCACATCTCAGTACAGTAAACTCATTGTCATGTTCAAGAAACCTCTTTGAGATGATTTGAGCTTTGTGACATGAAGCTTTATCAGAAGATTGGTGCACTGTGGTCATAAAGGGAAGGACATGGTCACTAGCAATACTCAAGTAGGCTGTGGTGTTTAAAGCATGCTCAGTTGGTACTAAAGAGTATTATGATGAAATATTTGCAACACCAAGGGAGAATCAGTCCATCCTTTAATGTTGGTTGTGCCAAATTCTAATCCTACCATCCAAATATTCAAGGAGAAATCAACACTCCTCAGGGCAGGCAAACTTTTTCCAATCTCCTGTTGTCCTGAGTTTTCTTTGCATTGTAACTTTAGTTTCATGTTTTTAGTTGACAAGAGTCACATGCTCGTCTGCTTCAAGGCTTGATGTGTTCAGAGATCTTCTTCTGAACACTTGGTTGTAATGAGTGGTCTTTTGAGTTACTATTGCCTCCCTGTCAGCTTGATGCAGTCTGCCCATTCTCTTTCTGACCTCTGGCATCAACAATCATTTTCACCCAGAGAACCGAACTACCGCTCACTGGATATTTTCTCTTTTTCAGACCACTCTCTGTAAACACTATAGATGGATTTGGAGCAGATCAGCAGTTTTTCTAAAATACTAGGACCAACCTGTTTGGTACCAACAACTATGCCATGTTCTAAAGCTCTGTTTGAATTTCAGCAGGCTATCATAATCATGCCTGCATCCCTAATTGCATTATGTTGCTGCCATGTACACAAGAGGTTGAACATGTGTACCTAATGAAGTGGCCAGTGAATGTATATGTTTATGTTATATACACATATTCAAAAACGAAGTTTCTGTAAAAGTTTAGCTATAGGTTGCTTAATGACAGAGACCACAGACACACCTGGCATGTGTCTGTGGTCATGGCCATGTGTTTGTGGAACAAACAACCTATTTCGTGTGTGACGTGTTTAGTACACAACCATAAAGCCTCACAGCTGAGACTGTAGGTAAAAGAGCTAAGCGTGACCTTTTTTTTTTAAAAGTTTAGTTGAAAGAACATGATAAATATTTAATTTTACATTTAGCGCAGCATAACTATGTCACTATAATAATTTAATATGCTTAGTTTAAGACTATAAGGAACGAATATCCTGTAGCTGCCCACATATTAGTCACAATAACGTTATGTTTGTTTGTTTTTTAAATGTCCACTCGACTATTTCCCCTTAGTTGTCATTTGCCCCATGTATATAAAGGTGATTCAGTAACAGGGTTAATTTCATACCTAACGATATAAAGAATTAGCCGATGTGAAAAAATAAACAGGTATGGTAGACCGTGCGCTGTGCCACGCGCTGCCTGTTATAGAGAGTGTTGCGTTATCAATTGCAGCTGTAATGTTGCTGAATTTCCGGGTAGCTGTGTCTGCTTAAGGCTGGGATTATACCCGCACGCAGGCACGAACATTTAGACTCTGTGGGCGAGTAGTCCTGCACGTTTTACTGTTGCCAAGTCCGCTTGAAGTACGCATGCGTAGCGGGTGCATCGTTGCGTGCCATCTGCCTGGCTAGCGGTCACACGGACGTCCGCGATGGGGAAACTGTAACACTGTCCTACAGTAAGTGTTTCAAACCGAAATCTGTCTGCTGAACCATTTCTGTCATACACGCGTTTGGAAATGCACATGGTTGTGAGTATTGAGACCTCCAGATCATTAAAGTTTTTTTTTTAAAAAACAAACAAGAAGTTGTGACATAAAAAAGACAACAAATTTGGCGCCAATGAAAGTCACGCTAAAGCATAAAAAAGACGTGCTAGAATTTATGAATAAATGAACTGCAAATATGAGCTTTATTATATAACTTTAAAGTAACAATGTTTTAAGGCTGATAAACACAGAGGTAAGGAGCGAGTGAGGAGTCAGTCAATTAACCTGTCAATCCCAGTGATTTGGCCAGTCAGGGGTGGGGTTAGACATTTTGAACCTATCACAGCCAAAGAATCACAGGAGTCACTAACACAGCTAGCAATGTTTGATTTTACTGCCCCACAAAAATAAAAGCATGATCATTTCCTTAATACCACCTGTGCTTAAAAAAATTAAGGAAGTAAAAGTTAAAAAAGAAATGTTTTTATTGTTTTATCTATTCTGCACAGGACTCCCACAGCATCAACAGCAGGTGCTGGTCTCATAATCAGTGCAGCGTAACCAGAAATCTTTTTTTCCCCTCTGCATTCTTGTTCAGTGACATATACTGGAGCCTACATCACACACACTGCAACTCAACCCTGCAAACCCTGAGGGACGTCTTAATGCTAGTAGAAGCTAGCTATTGTCGGCAGCTAAGTTTTGTGTAACTCCTCTGACTTTCAAATCTGAAAGTACCACGAGTTCCCTTTAAATGCTATAATTTGAGAGTGTACTTATGTTTGACATTTTTTTGCAGCTATAATCGTGAGTGCAGTGTGCATCTTCTCAGCTTTTAAAATAACCCTAGCCAGCTCATAATGGGGTCAAATGCTAAAATCAGTCAATAAATTCATACTTGAATTTGGCATCTGTTTCCCCTTACACTCTAACTGTATTCGTTTGGTATAGCACAGACGTATGTGCAAATATATTCTGAGAACTTTCATATATAACCATCATAAGCATATGTATCACTACTTTGCTATTACATTATCAACTGTAGAATCAAATCTAATCTCTTATGTGTCACTTTCTTTGTTTACAGCAGTCTCTCAAAAACATGACTCCTTTATAAGTAGTGAAAACAACAAACATTTGATTAAGGGTATGAATTACCACATTAGCCATGAAGCTTCACATTTTCAATCCTTCCACCTTTGTAACAAAGACAGGACTTCTTTCTATTGCCATAAGAAGTCGGTATTTTTTTATTGATCCTGCAGAAATGAGGCAGACCAAAAGTCTCTTTCAAGCTCTTTTAAGGTTCTTTTTTTTTTTTGCTTTCAAATTCTGTCGCTCTCCTTCTTTGCCTTCTTTGCATCATCCAAGAAGGGGGATTGGAGAAGGATTTTCTTTTTGCCAGGTAAAGTTTCCACGGTTGGTGTGGTTGTTCCACTATTTCGGTTGCCAGGGAAAATAAAAGCGCTGCCTTTCTCCTGTTTTGCAGTCTACATTTTCCCAGGAGATTTTGAACCTGCTTTCCATCAGAACTGCACCATGAGAACAAGGCTTACTGGTGTCCGGTCTGAATGCTGATAGCATCGTTGCATTTTGCAGCAGCAGTTTGAGCATAAACTTAAAGTAACTTTAAACTCCCTTTAGGTATACGGCATAGTTGATTAATCCACATGAGGTGCCATTAGTGATAATGACACCCTGGATGATAACATGGTAGTTAATACAGTGCTCCGTGTTCTGTGTAAAACTTGACTTTTTGGGTCATGATAGTCAAGTGACATGTCACATGGATTAAGAATGCCCTGAGCAGTGAGTCTTATGACTTTAGTATGTCATGTCATTATCCCATGCACTCTTTGTCCACCTGTCTCTGGAATAAGTAAAGGCAAAATGTAAAAAACCCCAAACAAATCAAATCCGCCCACTGTTGTTACCCTCCTATGTGCCAGTCAGTCCTGAAGACGTCTGTGTGTGGTGGCTCTTGATGTTTTGACGCCCGCTTTCTTTCAAGTTCTTGATTTGACTTTTCTTGACAGTCTCCCCAAAGCTGCAGTGATTCCTGTTGAATGTGCACCTTTTTGCTATCACACTTTCCCTTTCCCATCTACTTTCCATGAATAAGTTTCGATTCAGCACTCTGTGAACAACGAGTCTCTTCAGGAGCATTCTGTGGCTAACTGTCCTTACAGACGGTGTCGACGATCATCATCTGGACAACTGTCAAGTCAGCAGTCTTCCCCACGGTTATAAAAGATCACTGACAGGTAAAGTGTCTGTGTAGATTCTCCACCAATCAATTCACCTCACATCCAAGAGGCTTTTAGAACTGAAGAAGGCTCTTGGATGAGAGGTGAAACATCTTCAAGAAATTTAAAGAAGTCCAGTTACTATCTTTCCGAGCTCCATAGGCAGGTAAAGTGAATAACATCAATCATCTTGTTGCAGTGCAATGTTCTGCTGGTAGAGCTTTGCATTCGAGCAGATGCAACTCTGACACGTGGCAGCTGCAGAAACATTATGGTTGCGTATGACAACATGTGCCCCAGCACGCTCCAAATGTAGCGCAAGAAAGCCTGGAAAACACAACAGGAAGTCAAAGGTGCTGACTTTACCTGATCCCAATCTGATCCCGCAGTGGCAGGATGTGCATAAATGAGCCTGACTGATAGAGGCACCACCCTGCCGGGACACCGTGAGAGGTCCAGCTTCCTGTCCGAATAGGTGAGAGCTTCTTTGGGTAGAATGAACAAGGGTAACTTAATGTCGCAGCTGATCAGTGTATATTGTCTTTCTCGTTGTGCATAGAAACTTGGCAGATTTCCTTAAAAAAAAGAAACTAATAACTTTGGTAATAGTATATTGAATTCAGTCAGCAATTCCTGCTGGTTGGGGTTCATCGAGCCCGGGTCTGTTAAAAAACTGACCATTGCGAAGTTAAAGACAGCTGTGCAGAGACCAGGACATGTGGAATGACATTTTATTGCGCCATTAGTCATTTTTCAGACAACAAAGCTCCCTCAACATTAAAACAAACAGCAATGTACAAAACAGCACACCTTTGTTTTATTTTTTTGCCATCAACGGAAATTTAATAAGGTAGTGAGAGTACATAACAGAAAGAAATGGAGTGTAAGGACGCGAGTTATGATGATGATGTCGAGATGTATAGGATGAGCTCGATGTCAAAGCCAAAGTAAGCACCATCGTCATATAGTCAGGAAAAGGCCATATTTCAGTAAGAAATATCCTAGAATGGGTGAGGAGAGGTTAAACATGATACAAGAGGGTCGTTATCACAGTTTTCAGACATTTTTATCAACTAAATAAACAAAACAAAATAAAACGAACAAAAAAAAAAAACAATATCGGTGTAGCACTACTTTATCATGCAATTTACTTTAGTAAACCTTCTGACACAGACAAAATATACTTCAATAAGTAGAACTCAATACATCTCTGTCCAGCAATAGTCACAAAGCCTGTAATTTATACTCTTTAAATGTGAGATCCCTATCAAAAATAATATGCAGATTTTTATTTTTCTTAATATATCTAAAGTGCAAGTATTTATCCATTTTATTCAATGCTTTCTGTAAGTATAAAATACAAAGGAAAAAAACAGCAATGTTTTTCCTGTTTACATGTTATATTTTTCTGAAAGGAGGAGCATCATATATAACAAACCATATATATATATGTATATATATATACACACACACACACACACGCCACAGATAAAATATTTTCGAAAGATACAACATATTATCTCTTATGGGGATGGTAAAGGGATTGAGACCAAACGGTGACAATGGGATATGTTCATTGTGCATTGACCCCACCCCCTTAAAAATCCAGGATCCATTTAACCCAACATCTCCAGAACAGCTTCAAGGACGTCTTCAAGAACTATACACAACAGTAGCTTTTACAGTCTGCGAACACGGTGGACCCTACTGCTCGGTGCGTGTGCAAACAGAAGACATGCTGAATGAGCTCCTCTGTCTGTGGTTTTCTAATGAGTCATATAGTGCTTGGCTTTGACCAGAGGCTGCGATTGGTTGTGTGATTAACCAGAAAGTCAGAATGGCCAATGAAAGACTACAACACTGGAAACCAGAAACAGAGCACATTTGGTTGTTTTGAACACCTTAACATAAGTTCCGTCAGTTCTTTACTTTTTTTGTTAGTACTCGTATAGTCTGGTGGAGGCGCGAGCCGGCAGCCGCGTTTCATTTGTGGAAGTTTTCTGTTAAACCGTCATGTAGACGTGGCTGTTCCCCACCTACAGCGGAGCCATCCTAGCAATCTGACACTGAGGTGCGTGCAGCAAGTAGATATCGCTGCATCTACAACTTAACCTCTCCTCAGTCTGACCAGGAATGGTCTGGTTGCCTGTAGTCTGATCAACGAAAGAAAACGGCACACTTAAGTCAAATCTGACAAATGAATACTGCGGGCGAAAGTTTGGTTAACATCATGATTAGAGATCACTATGATGGCTGCTGCTGTGGAGAAAATAATTGAAACGGCGCTAACAAGCACAGAGCAGCATCGCTCATGCACATCCAACCCATCCGGAGCCACCCGAAGATGGCACACCATCACGTCCGCTGACACAGAAAACGAGACGAACGACATCCGCCTACCATGCTGCATTTAAGTCCTAGAGATGGATGACTGTGTAGATGTGGGCACAACGTGGCTGCAAGGTGACTCCAGGTAAAGGTCTCACAAAATCAGGTTTGATCGCACCGGAAGTACGCTTCGGACAAAGACCCGAAAACGCCACGTTCAACGCTAAAAACACAACTGACCCAGTAGCACCTGGAAAAAACAAAAGAACACATCTTTAAATCTTTTTTAAAAACAAACAAAGAAGCGAACAATGTGTGCGTTTCACAGAGTGAGGCATTCACAAAGTGAACTCTATGAGCATGTTCAGGCTCTCCTCATATTTGGCCATTAGAGAAAAAGAGAAAGGAAGCGTCGTATTTCCAGTCTTAGCATGTAGCAGACATGATTAAAGTCAGTCAGGCTAAAGCTAGAACACTTTGGGGAATAAGTGCTGTATCACCACAGTGACTTCAGACTCGCGGTGACCTCAAGATGAACTCAGGTTGACCTCAGATGTGCTTTTCTGGGCACATAGTCATAGGTGGCTTGTACGTGCGTTCAATGAAAATAAATGTTTTTTGTATTGAGGGCAGTGTGAGGAAATATAATAATCTCTGTAAGAAGTGGAAGAGATTTCCAGAGAGAACGGTCCTAACTCGATCTGTCTGCAGCCGGGTTGGAAGGTTGTGGCAGGCTGCTGCTGCTGCTGGTAAGCCCTTACAGTGCAGTGCCAGGCTTCATCAGGCCTTTCACTGTCACTGAGACAAATGTGGGCCAGAAACAGTCCTGTGGTGAACAGAAGGGATTTTCTGGAACCTTTTTTTCTTCTCCTGCCATCACAAACGCAGCCAATCAGACACAAATCAGCTTTTAAATCTGAGGATTGAACTTGTGACACCTTATGAGCCCAAGTGTGCCCCGGGGACTTCTGCTTTCGACCCGGCCTCAGCTCTCCTACATACACGGTAGGCCTCGCTTGTGAGTGCATTAGCCGCTTTTATCCAGCTGAGGCCTCTAAAGTGTTCCCTTCCCGTCAGCTAGGTGGCATGCCACACCGACAGGCTCAGTCGTATTTAACGCACTGAGAGTTCAGCAGGACCTCAGTGCAGGGCTAAAGGTCAGCTGAGTCAAAATGAAGGGATGGACTACACGTTCTAAGTGATGAATAGTGCACAAGCAACAAGCCTTTTTTTAACGCCTGGGAAAGAGGAGCGAGACTGCGACAAGAGTCTTCCCACAGCAGAGGGGATTGTGATCCTCGCCATGAAAACAACAACAAACTCCTCTGTCCTTTGGCTTCTGCCGCGGCTGATCGCTATCGCCCGGCTCGATTGAAACCCCAGAAAAGCCTAAGTCAAACTGCGGTTCACCTGTACTGCAGTCCCAGGTGAGTGAGGGCTCGCACTCAAGCTCCAAGCACACAGTTCTCTTTCTCCTAATGACAGGAGGCCTTGTGCAGTTCTAGACACAATTCAAAACACTTCAGAGGCCTCCCAAACACTCAGATATCAACAAGAGGCCTCAACAGGGGGAGAGTATGTGTGTGTCTGTGCGTGCGTGTATGTGTGTGTATGCCAGCCACCCCTGGACCCAAGCCCCAAGATACTATTCAAGCTTAGTGTAGAAGGGCCAACATGGAGACAGTCAGAGGTTGTTGACGGTCTGTGTTGTGTGTTTGGAGGAGAACTTTTTTTTCGTTTTCCTAAGGGAGGACGTAAAATACCCGAGCTAGTCTACGCGCACTGAGAGACAGACAAGGCAGCCTACTGGTTTACAGAAAGTGACAGGAAGAAAAACAATTAAAAAAAACTCACAACGAGTCTGACTTTTTTCACCTCGAGAAGTAAAAGTCTTCACATTTTGGAAATATAATGCGGATGCATCCACTTCATCATCATGCTTTCAAATATCTACTGATCACATAGCCTATACATTTTTCGTCTATACACGTGATACAATGCCACGATTGGCACGTACACAATATTGCACACTAATATAAAATGTCCTACACTAGTCAGTGGCTTCGTCTCTGGCTGGGAGGGGAAACCTGACACGTTTTGGACAACATACTGTGGAGGAAAGGGGAAAAAAAAGAAGCATCAGAATAACAATGCAAAAGTGACATATTCTGAGCGGCGAGGCCCCCAAGGAGCGATCAAGGGGCTGTAGCACCATAAAGAGATAGACACTGCCTCGGCCCTGCACTGATAGGCCTCTAAATCCGCTGGACCGCATTCGTACTGACTGCATGGGACCGGCCGGCTGGCCTGCCTGGCTGGCTGACTGCCTGGCTCTTTAACAGCATCCATCTCAGCTCTGACAAATAAGCCTCATCCAGCCGCTCCTGGGTTTTAGTTTTTTTATTTTTATATACTTTTGTTGTTGTTGCTGTTTTTTTCATTTTTTGTTTTTCTTTTTAACATCATGGTGCATATGGTGAGCAAAGCCACCCATAACATTTCCAGCTTACTTTCCACGCTCGCGCACACTCAGTGAGTTCCCGGGAGGCACCGATCAGTCCGTCAAGCCAGGGGTGCGGCTAGGGATTCTGGGCTCCATGTTGCACCATAGCACAACGTGCATAGCCCCCAACATGCCAACAACACCCAAGAACACAACTGGACCCACCCCCTGCCCCCAGCTCCCAGCAGCCTTTCAGCTTTACTTTTGGTGTTGCCACGCATGCTCCATGCACTGCAGGGGTGTGAATCCCACAGCCCTGGTGAGTATATATTTCTGCCTACATAACAGCACTCGTAAATGAAAACATACAGCGGTCGAGGTCACAGACCATCCACGTGAGAACACGTAAACGAGTGGAGTGTATAAGGCACGGGTCGTAATGACGTCAGAGAGGATGCGTTGCCTCGCCGCGCGCTGCGCTGACGCGTCTTTTTTTGTCTGTTTGTTTCTGCGCCTTGCGCTCCCACATATGGACCTTTTTTTAATATCCTTTTGCATCCCCCACCACCTTGAGGAAAAGAAAAAACAAAAAACAACAACGTAAAGAAAAAAATCCCACAGAAAACGTGGGCATCTTAATAAGGATTTTTTTTTTTACAGCTGATTCACAAAATCATAATTAGTACATCTAAGTTAGCACTTTTTTCATTTAAGTTTATGTGGACATGGTGCAAGAGGGTTGATATTCAATAGAGTAGCTCAGAGATAGGTTTAACCCATTTGTTTGAGGCGCACATAGGCTATTTAGGTTTGTGTCTCAACCTTTTCCATAATGGCATGAGAGAAATGCTTCCATTATCCGACTACGTTTAGGCCAAATTAGAGACTACGGCCTACTTTGCCAACTTCTTTTCAAAACATGTGCCTACACGCATGCTGACAGGTGTTTACAAGGCCTGCAGTGCTGCCTTCTGTAACTCATTGAGCATTGTCATATTTATTCTGCGTACCTTTATAATAAACTATACATCTGGATTCGGATTTTGGTTTCATAAAGTCCATAATATATCCTCTTTGTGCTGATGTCAAATATTCCTTCTCCATGAAGACTTTATACTCTAAACCTCTGGTTTTATTTTGATTAAATCTTAAGTCTATTACCAGTTTTTAAAACACTTAAACATTTTTCTTTTGTGAAATAGCTTTGATGTGTGCAAAATCTGTCATCGATAGAGATATAAACACTCTGTTCATTGTCACTTAAATCAAGTAGGAAACGGTTCATATCTTACAGTTAAGTCCTTGATAGCAGCGGCTTACTGTTACATGGGTGGTAAGTGGGGTGACATCCAGTAAAATGAGCGAGGAGACAGCAGAGGTGCTGCCATGTCTGTGGAGGTTGTGTGTGTGGGGTGATTCCCTTGTAGATTCTCTTTCTATTTTACAGTTAAAAGTCTGGGTTGTTTTTTTTCTCTTCAGAGTCCAACGTTGTCTCGGTTGTTTCATGTCAGCTCTCCTAAAATCCGCGTCAGTCATCGTCGCCGTCGTCTCCGCCGTGCGGGCCCTCAGGTAGCAGTTCCGAGGCCCTTTTCTCTCTACTCCTCTCCTGGATCTTCCTCATCTCCTCCGCGTATTTACAGAAGGTGTTACCGAATTTGGACCACACTTTGCAGGGAACCGTAATGGAGTTCCGGTACGTGGGCTTCACCTCACTCACCCGCATGAACACCCCGTACTTATTGGAGCCCACGTCAAAGAAGAAGCGCTTGTTGTCGACAGTGAGCGAGGTGCCCTCCGGGAGCTCCGCCGGCTCCTCGTCCACGCCGTAGTCGTCGATGAGTTTGGCTAAAGCGTCGCGGAACTCGATGAGACCCTGCGCCGGCAGAGCGATGGTCTGGCCTTGCGCGCTTCCCAATCCGGGCCCCCGATTAACGGTCTGTCGGATCCTCAGGAACCGCCCCCTCTGGTTCTCTTTCAGATCCATGTAATATTTCCGATTCTCCCGCACCAGGAATTCGCTCTTGAGCGCCCGCCGGGGCTCATCCTGCACCATGTCCGGGTTGGTCGGGCCCAGCTGGGCGTAATGTTCGATAAAGTCCCCGAGATAGTCGCGGAACTCCACGGCGACAGACATGGAGAGAGTGAGGCGGCTCTTGTTTCCCCCAGCCCCGACCTCGGCTATCTTTAGGAAGCGGCCTTTAACATTCTGCTTCACGTCAAGGTAGAAGCGCTTGTTCTGGATGTCGACGCGCTTCGAGGCGAGCTCCTCGGTGTCGTGCTGCAGCCGGGACATGGCGCCCATTGCGCCCGGAGGCAGCGAGCCGGGGCCTGCAGTGGGCCCTCCGTGGTCACTGCCACTGTCTCTGTCCGCCATGATGCTGCCTCCCTGCTTTACCTTCCACCGTCTCCCTCTGCCTGCTGCAACCTCGACTGCCCGTCAAACCGCTCCGCCGCTCTATCGCGAGACGAGAGAAGAGAAGAGGGTGAAAAAATGAAAGTAACTGTAGTTGGTGTTACTGTAGTACTCCGAGCGGGCTGCGTTCAAGGTCCCCGCGCGATTTTTGCAACGTTTCGCAGAATTTACATTTTAAGCCGTTAAAGTAGTCGCATACTGCAAATGAATGCCTAAAACTCCGCAGCCGAGCTCACAGACAGATGTGTTTACATAAATAAGCGGGTCTAAGCAAAGGAAGATCACGGGGTTTGAAAGCTGTGTCAAACACAGCTAAGAACAGGGCGCAGACAAAGGCTTAGCCTACCTGGTGGTTAATGGGTCGGGTGTTTCGGCACCATGGACAGTCGTTTTGGGGGTTTCAGCACCACGGACAGCGAACCCGCACGAAAGGAGACGCGGAGAAGGGAGAGCGGGGTGAAAAAGAAATTTCTGAATGAACAGTCGATGGTGGCTGCGTGGGATTTTGATGCACTGCGAAGCACCGTGAATCATTAGCCTGTGATTGGACACGCCGGTGTGTCTCTGTTTCTCTCAATGGGAAATGACATTGAAGGGCTTAAAAAAAGTTAAAGGGAAGAAAAACCTGTTGCTATACATTTATTGGCACACATGGTGACACGAGTGTTTGGCAGCACTTCTGATAATGATTTTCTCCTCCTTCAGTGGGAGCCTTTAAGATTCAGGGTTTTCTTGGAATTCACTTCAAGGCCTGACACTTAGCGCTTTATATGGGCAAAATAAATAGTCCGGTGACCCCCACAAACACGAAACACAAGGACTACTGTTTGGGGTCCAGGAGACAATCACCACAGCAAAATTCTAGGTATCAAATTAGTGGAATAGAATGAGCCATAATGTGTGAAAACCAGAGTCATTACAGTTTTGTATTGTCGAACTAGTTTTGATTTCATTTTGATTTTGATTTTTCTTTTTTTTTCTTTTAAGTCAGTTTAGTTTCAGTAAGAGTGAAGTTCTGTTTAGCTTTTATTGTTTGAAAATGTTCAATTGTAGTTTTTTTTAGTTTCTGTGTTCATTTTAGTCTTTGTAATATATGCTGTGTGGAGGGCACATGTCAGAGACAGGATTTAGGAAATCATTGCACAAGTGACAATAAAAACACAGACGCTTGAAAGCAGCGGACTCACAAACAGAGTCTCAATAAACACCAACAAAGTCTAATTTTTATTTGTTTTTAGTTTTGAAAGTTGACACAATTGTTTCAGTCTTAATATTTTTCAAGAGCCTTTTTTATTTTAGTTGACTAAAATGTTTTTTCACATCTAGTTTGAATTTTAGTTTTAGTTGACTATAACCTTTGTGAAAACAACCTTTCCTTTATTGTTAATTCAGTTTTTATCCCACCTGCAATCCACATGCTCACACTGCATCCATAACCCCTCCAATCCCTGTCCCTAATAATTAGGAGCTACAGGAAACATGAATTCAGTAAATAGTTCACCGGTGGAACTACATGCTTTTGACTGTGATGTCATAATAGCAGTAAACACAACAAGTGCCCGTGTAGCAGACCTGAAGAAGGACAAGATGGAGAGACTTGATGGGGTTTGACCTAATAATCTCTGGAATATATAATTTATATCAGTAGACCAAGTATGAAAAAAGACCACCTCTTATGTTTTATTCGCAACTGTTTAATTGTTTTTTTTTTTCTAAACTTGCACTTAAATGAATAAAACACGAGGTTTATGCTTTGTCTTTGCAGAGTGACACTGATGTAATCTCACATAAAAGAAAGGGTGGCTAGGACAGCTACAAAGAAATGTGTGTCAAGTACAGAAAAGCATATTCCCTACAAGAACTGTAAAAAATAAAGTGCTTTGAGTGATCAGGTAGAGTAGAAGAGTGTTATATATAAGAACCAGATCATTTACCATTTACCAAAATGACTGCTGGGTTGTTACGATTAGTGTATCATGACAGGGAAGTTCAAGCGACCTCATCAGCACCCTGCTGAAGTGCTGATGTAGCGACAAACGTGCCCCCCTTTGCTCGAGTTCAGGGAGGTTGTGAAGGCAGTTGGTAGTGGCCGCCCCTGGCCAGTGAACAGCAGGAATCATTTTCACTCCACTTTGCTTGGTCAACAAATGATTTGTTTTCAAGGCTAATTTAGAACAATTCCCAAAATTGCATGCAAGCTTTCTGAACGAGGGCTTCCAAGTTGACTAGATGAAGGAGAGACTGATCCTTGTGTATGTGGGTTGTAGGTGGGGAGGGATGATGTGGGGCTGGGTCACAGGATAGATCAGAGATTGGCTGATCCAGTTCTGTGAGCTTGGTGAAACAACTGCAAAAATGCGGAGCAATCTAAACATTCGACTGAGCACATCTAAAACCACAGAGATCAGTGGCACTCCGGCTTTACTCCTGACTCCATGTGAAAATAATGTATGAACAGGGATGTGGTTTTCCTGCTTGGACAGAGAAATAAAGCTGTCCAGCTTTTCAGCACCATGGACAGAGGCAGGCCCCTGACCTGACCCTGGTGATGAGGGGAAGATGAGGCCATGATGTAGCTGCATGCTCAGATGAAATGGCTATATACATTTTCTTTATCTCTCTCTCTCTCTCTCTCTATATATATATATATATAGAGAGAGAGAGAGAGAGAGAGGGAGATATGAAAACTGTCCATGTGTCCCCTATGTGACATTATAGTTTCTGATTTCCTCTGTATGGACTACAAAAAGGCTTTCTGACCTCTAACGAAGGTCGCACAGCTCCTGACAGGGAGGGAAAGGCAAATCTTATGAATGGCTTGGCTGATGGAGGCAGAGACTGGGAGGGGATACTTATGGTCAACAAAAAAAAAAAACAACCAAAAAACCTCAGCACTTTGTACAGGGGTCTCGTTTCATTGGTGGATGAGTATTCAGTGGAAAATGAAGCTTTATTCACTGTAACTAAGCCAGATTGGCGAAAATATTTGTGTCTTTCTATTATAACACCCGCATTTTCTGGTAACTGTTGCTACCACGTGTTGCCACAGGAGTCGGCAAAACTGCAAGGCGACATTTGTGAAGTGTAATGACTCGCAAAAACAGTGCTGAACATAAAAGCGGGATTCGGGCGTGCTTTGCAGAAGCAGATATATTTTCCAGAGGGGCCATCTAACAGCTCAGAGAGCTCAGCTCCGAAGCGCCCGCTCGCCTCTACATGCCGAGGAATCCATTGAGAGAATTTCGCAGCGTTAGTCATCGCAACAGCTATCCGCAGTGTGTGTGTGTGTAGCAGTCGCCTATAGCCTCTCTTGCACCTCTTGCACCGGAGATCCACAGAAGGCGCCGTGCAGGGCTTGGCTACAGACGCAACTCCGCGCTGCTGATGTGGTGTGCCTGTGCACCGCGTGCGTGAATTCTCCTGCACCCACCCCACAGAGGTTTGGTTTTTTTTGGGTTTTTTTTTTTTTCAAACAGAGTCTGCCGGCATGCTCACACACCGGTTGGGTCCGTGCCGGTGGGCCGGTGGGTGCCCGGGTCATTAGGGTGTTTGCGCAGGACGTGGCGAGGCGAGGCGACGCCGTTGACCGGGCAGGTGATGTTTGCTCACGTAAGCCGCTCGCGTTTGATGAGGGGCGCAGGGGACGCGGCTGGAGGGTGCGCGCTACTGTTGCAACGCCTCACCGGATAACCGCTGCTCTCTCATCCTGTCCGTTGGACCTCTCCGCGGTAGGGGGTTTGTTGATTTTTCCCCCTTTTTTAATTTGAATTTTTTTGCTTCCTGACTAACGGATTTGCAACACTGGGACTCTTGACGATATATAAGTGGATAAAGGAGCCGATACTGCGTGTGCGTGGAGCACAGCATATAATTTCTTGTGATTCCCCTGTACGCGCAAGTCGCTTTTTTTTCTTTCCAAAGAGGCAATGCGCCCACCCATGCGATGCTAGCCTATTAGCTGGAGAGAGAGAGAGAGAGAGAGAGAGAGAGAGAGAGGTTTCAGCCCTGGATTCGAGAGGAGACTAATTTACGAGTCTTGTTTTGCCTTTCAGGAAAAGGGAAGATAAGAGGGGGGAGGGTGGTTGGTGAAGGAGAATGCAGCAATCACATTTTTAAGCATGCAGAAGCGGGCCGTTTCCGGTTCCTAGGCTGCTGTGTCCCCCCCATCCGACGCCAGCAGCCGTATGGGGAAAGCAGCGGCAGACACAGATGGCATGGACACTTCCACAAGGTCTGCCGCTCTGCCCTGCCTGCTCTGCCGGAGCCCGTTCGCCGCCGTCTCTCTCTTCCAGCTCGCTCCGCCGCCCAGCAGCACTGCAGCACAGCACAGGCTGACGGCATGAGGCTTGATCCAGTGCATTTCTCCATGCTGGTCATCGGGGTCTCCTTCGCCTGTTACGCCCCGAGTCTCAACTCCCTCCAGGACCAGGCGTACAGATCAGCCGTGGTCATCGAGGGCGAGGTGCGCTCCTCCCCGGAGAACGTCTCCTCCCGGGAGCCCTACAGCGTGAATGTCAAGGTGCTGGATGTGTGGCCCGTCAACAGCGGCGGCCTCGAGAGGGAGCAGCTCGTGACCGTCGGGGACTTCGGTTCCGAGGCCCCGTGCACCACGGTGGAGAAGGACCACAGATATATCTTTTTCATGGACCCCACCGCCGAGCCCTTGGTATTCAAGGCATCGTACGCCCCCGTGGACGCCAGCGAGCCGGAGTCGAAGAAGGATGTTGAGAGAGTGTTGTGCGAGGACTGCGGTAAGTTTAAGGCTTTTCCCTCATACCTGCCATCCACTCACAGCGCACTATAAGGGCCACTGAAACTGCCATGGTGATGTAAGGGAGACATCCAGCACTCTGGCTGCGCATGCACGTTCCCAGTCCATACAGTGTGTCAGCGTGCACACACACATATGAGCGATTGACACCTCAGTTTTCCATAACCCGGTCACCCATAATATATGAGAGGCATGTCAGGGGAATGTGTGTGTGTCGCGTAATCTGTCTGTGTGTCCAAAAAAAAAAAGAAAAAATGAGAGATGGTTAGTTAAACCTAAGTAACCACCACCACCCTCCTCCCTCTCCACCGGTTATGACCCAAACAGCAGCATAAAGCCCAGGACCTGCATCGTGTCATCCTCACGGTAGCCTACATGTGCTGCGTTAAGGTGAAACGAACCGGCGGAAAAGCCAGCGGCTCTTCTTGTCGTGTCGCTCCTGTGTGAGTGAGGCAGAAAGTTAGGCCCAGAATGTGATGGGAATCGGGGACAGCAGCCTCGTCTTGAACTAACCTCCTTTCCAAACTTTGCATCGGAGCCCTCAGCCAGTGTTAGATCTATCACATCTGACGCCTTTTTTTTTCTCCATCAGAAATTGTGGCGAAAGTCTCCACAGTGTCTGTGTGGACTGCAGTGACAGTACGTGGGCGGTGATGGCAGTTTAAAATCTCTAAAACTTGCTGCCAGTTTTTAACATTTAAAAAAATCGTCGTTTGTTCTTGTTTCTACAAACAACAGATGCTGCGGTGGCCCTTTGTTCTAGGGAGTTTAACCAGAGAGGGCCACAAGTTTGAGAGTCTGCACTTTTTGTCTCTCTTTATTTTATTATTGCTGTTTATTTCTTTAAGATAATGGAAAAGCCTTTCCCCCTCTACAGCAGAGCTCTGGAAATCAGCTTCAGCTCAGTTATGACCTCACATGGTGTGACTTATGAATGTTGTAATGTATATTCAATCTACTTTGAACATAACGCTTAAAAACACAATAACGAGTTTCTTTTTTTTTCTGGCTAAATGTTCTTTGTGAGCCACTGCACCTTTGTTTTAAGCACTGACATGCTTCGCTGCCTTTGAGAAGCTGTAACTACAATAGCCTCAGTTATTGTTAAAGCATCTGGCAGCCATGAAGCAAAGAACTACAAAGACAGGAAGTAGTAATTCAGCCTCTAAAATAGAGAATAAGATCTTCAGTGAGAGCCACGCATTTCTCTCAAATGAGCACCAGCGTAAAACCTTTTAAGGGTCTCCTTTTTAAAAAAAATGTGGGTTTAAAAAAACAAACAAAAAAACCTTTAGAAACATGTAATCTTAAAATGTGACATTTATTTTCCAGGCTTGTGTGTCTGTGTATCTGTAGTGTTGCAGCCCAACAGGAGTTAGCTCAGATGTCTCAACAAAGGGTGCATCAAGGTTCTATTTTTACCTCCATGACATGCTAAAATTATCCAGTCATTTATTAATGACAGTGCTGTTGCAATCAGTCTGAACACATTTTCCAGGCAGGGATAAGCTCAGAAGAGGAGATACCCACTTATGAGCTGATTCACCTCTCATGTGTGCGCACATTCTCGCACGCGCTGATGTGTCTCCATGTCTCCAGAGGACATTACACTGACCTGTTCTCTGTTGTTAACCACGACAACTATATTTGCCCTAAACCTCCACCTAACCTCACCTTCAACCTAAAGTATGTTGCTCCACATGATGGCGATTCATCTAGGGCTGATTTAGTCCTCGCGACATAAGTGAGGCCTGCGTTTGTGTCCATCTATAAGAAAGTTAAGTCTCCGGAGTGTGACTGTCCAAACAGATCTACGTTCTCTCAACATGAGTAGCAAAAGTGCGCGCACGCAGAGGCTCACACGACAACTACACACACAACAAGAGCCTAAATTACATGAAGAACCCCAACTTAATTAGACTCTCCAGGGTGTGTGGCGACACTATAGATTCACCGTAGCAACTTGTAGTCTCTGAATGTCCCCTGTTTCCGTTACGTCCCTCATCAATTTTGTTTCTTTTCCAGGACTGGATGAGATTGACACACGAGTGGAATATATGAGAGGTTAACAAGAGGTTAAAGAAACACGTATATTTTTTATTGACAGTGCAGTAGCCTTAAAGCTTTATAAAATCTGCTGCGGTGAAGTTGATTTAGGACCTGATTTAAAACAGACAAAATATTACACAGTTCAGATCATACACCCCTGTACGCCACCACAGTGGATTTTACATCAAGTCGAGCTTTCTGATTTAATTCAGAGGGTTTAACAAAAGTATTGCAATAACAGTTTAGGAATTACAGTTATCTTTATACAGAGGTTGAAAGTAACTGAACAGCTGACTAACACACAGTTTCATGGCCTGGTGGATTTGCAGTTTAAGTCACCAAATGTAAGTGAAGGAGGCCATCATTAGGCTGAAAAAAACAAAAAAAAAAATGCATCAGAGAGTTAGCAAACACTTGCAGAGGGGCCAAATCAACAATTCGATATGTTTTTATAAAGAAGAAATTTACTGACGGTTCAGTGGTTTCTCAAAGTACTTTTAAGCTAGTGAGAGTGAGTTTTGTGAGTTTTTGAGACCTCTGCATCACCAGTGTGATTTTTTTCCCTTTTGAAAAAACACAATAAAGTACACCATACATTTTTAAGCACTAGATTTAAAAAAAAAAAGTCAGATGTAGCAAATATGATACAAATCAAAACTCATATATATGCATTTATATTTAATTTAAACTTATCAGATGGTTCAATAAACACTCTATTTACAAGAATTTTGAATTATCCGAATTACTTCATGATTCAAGCTTAAAAGTGTTAAAAGTGAAAGCTACTCTTGAGTCATATGTGGATTGTTTAATTTAAAGACAACTGTGGCGATGTACAGATACAACTTTACAAAATAAAAGTCAGACTATCGAAACACTTGTGGCTCTAACAGCACCAACCTGCAGCGTGGAGTCAGATGGGTTTCACATGTCTGCTTGTATGCGCTCAAACATGAATGCAGTAATGTCAGTGTCGCCTGCAAATGAGTTACGACAGAGCAGGACTCACAGCCAGCAGTGAGGCTGGAGATGTGCAAGCAAAGGTGCTTGCAAAATTTCACCGAAGACAGGAGAAATGGCAGCTGACAAGTGGGTTAGCAAGGGGTGTGTCTGCGGACACCAATCCAAAAGCAAGTCTAAAGGAAAGCAGCCAATCGCAGCCAAACACTTTTATACACACCCCTATCTGTCAGCATGATGGGATCCAAAACGGCTATGGGCTTTAGGTTTTCAATAGCATAGCTAATAAAGCTGTGGCTTGCACCAGGCTTATGAGTTTTGCTGATACTAGCTGATGATGTTGGTTTTTTTTTTTTTTGAGATTTTTTGTGCAACAAAAACAGACAGCAGCAAACTGACAGCAAGAGTAGCTGATAAGTAGTTACATTTTCGGAGAAGAATGGGAGCAGATGCAAACGATGATCCCACACTGTATTTCCTTTATGCTGCTATCTGCTGGGTGGCACAGTTAGTTTCAGAGGGCAACACTTATCATACTTGTCAGGGGTTTAATCTGCCACGACAAGACGTCTCTGACGTATATGTGAAAGCTAGAATCCAGGCAGGCATTCACTAACATACCGCCACATTACTGTATAAGCATTTACTGTATTCATTTGTTCTGGGTCTGTTTGACACTTAGTGCTATAAAGCAAAACAATGACAGAGCAGGTGTTCTAGCTACATTGTTTAGCTAGGTTACTGATGTCCAGGCTACTGGTGCCAGTCGCAGTGATGTGCTGAATTTTACACACTTCTTGGTATTTCTGGCTACAACGAATATGTGGAATCCACATTATTTGCCCATTTCTGACTGTAATGCAGGCAATTAAATAAATGACAAGTTAAAGTCTTTTTAGGGAAGTGGTTGTCGAGGTTTAATTCAGACTTTGTACCAGCAAACGTTTAAAGGCAGGAGCACAGATCCCTCGCTGTGAGAGAAATTATGAGACAGTAAATCTTCGTGCACCATAAAAGATAGCAGAGCCATCTTCCAAAAGCAGAGCCAATGTTGATTAAATGGCAGGACCGACTGGGTTCTCTCTTACTATTTATGTTATTGAGTCTGCCATAGCTGCTCCAATAAGCTCTCCTCTTCTCCCACTTCAGCTCAGCCCACAGCTGGATTGGGGCTTATGTACACCAGGGTTTGCAGAACTGAACAGTTTCAGTGGCAATAGCTGCAATGTTTGAGTTTCAGCATTTAATGTGAAAGAGTGGAGTACAAACTTCCTTTGATCAGATGCTGAGTTACATGTATGTCTGCATCCAGCGCCTCTCCCTCACCGACGTCTCCCTGTTTTATTCTGTGTAAACGACTTAGGCGTGTGGACTGCTCACACCACCCTCTTCAAAAACTGCAAAACCAATCCCATCTGACATCCCAGACAGGCTGCAGCGTAATGTAGGTCTTCTCTGATCATTGCTGTTGGCACGTCTTTTGAGATGCATTGACAGTTTCGTCCTAAAATAGCTTTATCTGATGCCCAAACATGCTCCTGTCACTGATGCTGTATCTAATGCTGCATACCTCATGCCTCATGCTCTCCCTCTCTCTCTCTCTCTCTCCTGCTTTAGCTGACTGTAGCTGGAGTGTGCGGTTCAGCTTATGCCTGCCCTTCTGTCAGTCAGCCACACAGAGGAGGAGAGAAACAGAGAGAAGGAAGCAAAGGCAGTGATCTTTAGCTCTGGCACTACAAAGAGATGCGGCAGTAACTGATACTGTAAAAGTTTCAGTAATAGCCGGGCCTTTTACCCACATAACGAATAAGAAAGAGCGAGAAGTTCAGTGGGTACTTTTATTTTAGTGGAAATGTCTGAAAATGGTTCACTTTGATACGGCAGAAATACTGCTGCGTTGTCCTTTACTCACTCGAGTGTTTAACACATGCAAGGACAGAAATTAGTGCTTGCAGGAAAAGTTACGTTGTA